CATTTGGTGTATTTAATGTTGGAACAATTTGGAGCACGAATTCTATTCTAGAATTCAATATGTTGGGTCCTTTTAGGCATCCAATTCTAGGACGCTTAGTTGCACCAGTTTTGTTTATACCATTCAAAAAGAATAAATGCGCGTGCAAGTTGCAACAAGTGTATTATTTTTTTATTTTATTTTTTTTTTTGATAACTCAGGTGTCCCAGCTTAGCCGGACTAAATCCTGGACCTCTAGCCCCCGGCCCCTCAGTGACTAGTGGAGGTAAATCGCAGGTTGTGCCCTTGTTAGTTCCCAGGTTCCCACATGGCTTTTACTCCTTCCCCAAAGGGACCCTCCTCCATGGTTATTACATCACCAAGCTGCTCCAACCCTTCCTCTGGTTATTACATCACTTGGCTGCTCCAACCAGAAATCGAACTCCTCACACTTGGTTCCAGAGCCCCCCAATGTGATTGTTCCGCCAACTTGGATGTGCCCTGGCGGGCAAGTGTATTAATGTATAGGTTTGGATGCCAAAGAGGACCTAATAATAATATTGAATAATACTTCACAGTTAATAATAATTGACAATATTTTAATTATTGTAGTGTTTTGGTAAGAGTGCTTTTAGACCTTTAGTTTTGGTATATATTAATATTTGGCTTGTTAAGTTTCACAATACATCACTCTGGTTGACCGTTATTTCTTTAATATTTTGAGTTAAGCTTCGGTATCTAGTTGATCTCAAACTCTTTTTTTTTAATTGAATCATGACGATAACCATTTCATTTAGTAGCATCCTCATAAACAATTTACAAGGAAAAACGAATTTTTTTTTGACAATTGAAACAAATTTTATCCCTAATTGTAAAAAAACTAAAAATTCTTTAATTGACAATTTTCATATAAAACAAAGCCAAACGAAAATCAAAAGATGAATGATTTTCTTAATTTTTTTTTGACAATTGAAACAAATTTTATCCCTAATTGTAAAAAAACTAAAAATTCTTTAATTGACAATTTTCATATAAAACAAAGCCAAACGAAAATCAAAAGATGAATGATTTTCTTAAATTTTTTTTGACAATTGAAACAAATTTCATTCCCAATACCAGTAAATTTTATCCATTTAATTGATAATTTTCATATAAAACAAAGTCAAACGAACACCAAAAAATACTTTGATTTTAACATTTTCCACATAAAAATTAAACCAGTCAAACACAATAATTGAAAATTTCTAGTAAAATATTTTCTAGACAATTCAATTCCCTGGAATTTATTTTCTTTCCACCCAAATTTTATTTTTGCAATCAAACGAACCCTAAAAGGAAAAAAAGAGTAAAAAGGAAAAAGGAGTAAAAAAATTATAATTTAAGCCCATGTTTTTAGATAAAAATTAGATTTTTATTTATTTATTTATTAAAGTTGATGGAATGTGTAATTTAAAAGTTATGAATATCATAAAATGTATGATTATAATTAATTGTTAACTTTTATTTAGATTCTAATCGAGCTGAAAAGTAATTAATTCAAATATAACGCAATAAAATGAGAAATACAAATTCATTTACGAATGAAATTGCAGAATTTGTTGTCAAAAACAAACTTTTTGAACCGTATAAAAGGATGTGGGGGTGTCTATGTAATAGTTGTGTTTAACATCAACTATGATCTTTATCGATTGTGCTACATGTAGATAATGGTTCACATACATATGATATAGTGAGATTCTTGAGATATAATTGTGTCATAATTTTTTCAACCAAACGAGAAGAAAAATTCACTCTCTTTTTAACATTTTATATTTATGTAAACCATTATATAACTCTTCATATGCAAATACATTATATATATTTGGAAAATATTTGTTGTACATAACCATTTACTAATATTATACATATTGATAAAAGGTCACAAAGATTTATTATTTATTATTATTATTTTTTAATTTGGTTGATTAGATTTTGATTCAATCAAATCTCGTCACATCATCTGTTGATAAACAAATATATAAGTTATAATATACATGTAGCACAATCGTATTTATTTATGGTTGGTTTTGCCTTCTTGTACATAACTTCCTTTGACTCAATTTGAGTCCTTCTAGCTCAACTTTTTATTTTCTAATTTATATTTCTTATTCAAATTTCATTTTCTTCTGTATTTTTTCTTCAAGGGTTTGGTGTGGTTCCCTGTTACCGAATAAATCAATTAAAAAAAATAGAAATTTGAAGAAGAAAAGTTCTGAACTAACATGGAAATAAAATCTTATTTCTCCTAAAATAATAAATTTCTTAAAAATTATATAATTAACAAATTGACATTCATTTAAAAGCACGAATATTTAGACACAAGCTGGGTAAAAAAATGAACAATTAAAGAAGAAAATATGACAAAATTGGAATAAAAAGATTTTCCTTTAATATGAACACTAACAGATCCGTATTGGTCTGTTTTGAAATTTTGAACAAGCTCTTATTGTTCCTATAATTGTCTAAACGTTCAACGTTACACGGCACAACTTAATTGCATAACAAAAAGAAGTGGTCGGACTTTTCGCACGCAAATATGCATGCTTATGGACAAATTATTGTTCCAACATGAAATTCAATAGCCAATTATGAATTCTTCTTCTTTCAAAATAAGTAATCGTGTTCTATCGGTCCATTTTCTTTAGCAATTATTATTGGTTTAAGTTATCTCGATTTTTGTAGTGGTAACGCGACCAATAGAATCCAACTCCGATTGTGTTATGTAACTTTGCTCCTGCATAGTTGGACAAATCGTTAGTTGAACGTACTCGCAAGCACTTCAGATCAAGTCAGTCGATGTATGAGTAAATATTTGGGTGTGGAACGTGTTAAAGAAGTGATCCACTTAAGAAAAGGGGTTTGGATTTGAGAGTGTGTGTAAAGAGAGCAATGAGAGCAAACTTATAGCTTGAGTATATAAGGTCGCATTACCTTCAAACTAAGTATAGGCTTTTATAGTATAAGAGTAGGAATGATAGCCGTTGGATGAAGAGATACGTGACGCGGCCTCATCTCAAAGGTCAAGGCACCTTATCATAAGTCTCATTTTATAAAATCTATATTCATGTGCATTTAATGTTTCTGACAATTAACCACCTTATGGTCTAGATCTAACGACTTGATAGAGTGATTACTACAGAGAAGTCACATCAATCAATCATAGAAGATCTTTATCTTTTTGGAGGAGGTGAGGCGATAGATGCTTCCCATCGATGAAGAGTCTAATTGCCTCGGATTTCCTCCCTATAGCATGCACAACACCTCGCCTAGATCATCGGCATCTTTGTGGCACCCCAACGGAAGTGATGCATTACCTCAACTATCTTATATACATGGCCTCACCTTGATTAGGTAGGATAATGATGTGGAGTGCGGGCCTGATTGGCTTTTTAGCTGGCTGTCACATAGTGGTGATCTAAAGCCTCATCATAGGAGGCGTAACAAAGTAGATAATGTTATTTTTGCCTATAAAATTGTTGCATATAAGAGCAAAGATAAATCGATAAAAATGTTCTACAAATCCCAAATTCAGTTTTGGGACAAGTCTAGCATTAACCCATATTCAATTACAAGTCCCAGATTTTGTTTGTTCATGACAAATTCGAGCCTTTAACCCATGAACAAATTCGAGCATTTAACCCATAGCTACCGAATCCTTTGCATCTTCCTTGCTGAGGATATTTTTCAAACACAAATACACGAACTTTTCTTAAAAATATATCACAAATATATTTACATATATATAGTCTTTGAAGTTTGTTTGGAACACCGTACTTTGCCTTTTGATATATTATAAACTTTTCTAAACGAAAATAATTATGAAGCGTCTAAACTATTCTCCATTAACCCGTCTTATTTTAAATCATTTTACCTTTACTTCACCTTCTGCCTAATATCTTAACAATTTAACAGTTCTAGAGACTAAAAAACGACAAAAAAGGGAGAATTTATTGCCTAAAAAAATCTTTTAAGGATAATGACATACGCCCCGTTTGGTTATGATTTTTCATTCCAGAAAATCAATTTTTTTACTTTTACTTAACATGATCATTCATCATTTTTGACTTTTTCACTCATAGGTAAGACCCACTTCTCTCTCTAACAGTCAAAAAATCAATTCTCATAATTACTATCGAACAGACCTATAGTCTGTACTCAAATTTAGTGAAGGTCTAATTTAACTATGATGAAAATTTCAAATTTATGTATCAATTTAGCGAAGGACTCCAATATGCATCAAGTCCCTCGGCTATTTTTTTATAGGTGTCTTAATATTTTTTAAGCAAGAGAGAGTGTCTCTATATTAGTCATATACTTACGTGGAGGCTTGTGTAATGGTCTCTACTTTCTATGCTTTGCAAAATTGATTTGAATACTTTTTCTAAATCACATTATTAACCATGTTTGTGAAGAGTATATATATTGTTTAAATTATAAATAAATAGAAATATGTGATGGTACTTATATATATATTCTTTGAAATATATAAATAAATTTAAAAATTTTTAAACACAAAGTTTTAATGCTAAGGCTGTAGTATGATTATGTCATACTTGGAGCTCAATTATCTTGAAATTATTGTAGTGGACTATTGATTCAAGACTCCTCTTCACTATTAATCAGACATAACTGTAGATCAAAATTAAAACGACAATATTTCGATAATAAACCTATATTAATTGAATTTTCTGGAACGGAACGGTAAAAATTACACCTTAGTTAATGCTCGTGCTAAAGTAAGAAATGAAAAGGTGAAACTGACATATAAATTTAACATAGCCACAAAAACTTGAACAAGTTCTGTAGAATTTTCTTGATATATTATTCCAAATTGGCAGAGGAAGTATCTTCAAAGTCAAGGTCCATGAGTTGGCCAATTTAAAAATAACAAAAAGACGGCCCCGGCCCTACCTAAAACGAACCGCCGAACGGTCATGTTGACTTGAAACCTAGTTTCCTTTTCCCCTATAAAATCCCTCCGCCCCTTCTTTTCTAGCAAACCATTCCATTAACGAAATTCCTTGTGTCTTACAGCATATGTCTCAAAGGACCAACGTTCCACACTTCTCCTCTATAGCTTTTGGTCTCCATTCCCATCTCCTGGTTTCCAGTGAGATGAACTCTAATTCCAATTGGTCTTTTTCTTGAAACTTTCATTCTTTAGGGAAAGGAAACAAATTCCTTGCTCGTTTTAAGCCAAAGAATTCCTTTCTTGGGAATTGGATTTCACTTTTTCTTGACGAACTTGGAATTTTTGATAATGGGTTTGAAGGGATTTGTTGAAGGAGGCATTGCTTCTATTGTTGCAGGGTGTAGCACCCACCCACTGGATTTGATTAAGGTTCGGATGCAACTTCAGGGCGAAGCGTCTGCGCCCAATCCGGCGGTTCAGAATCTTCGTCCGGCTCTTGCTTTTCCGACATCTGCCGGCCATGTCAACCTCCCTTCACCTCCACCGCCGCCCCGTCTGGGACCCATTGCTGTTGGGGTTAGGATTATTCAGCAAGATGGTGTCAAAGCTCTCTTTTCTGGCGTTTCTGCCACCATCCTCCGTCAAACTCTGTACTCCACTACCAGAATGGGACTGTACGACATCTTGAAGCAAAAGTGGACTGATCCCAATGCCAAAAATATGCCTTTGTCGAGGAAGATCGCGGCTGGACTCATAGCTGGTGGGATCGGAGCCGCCGTGGGGAATCCGGCTGATGTTGCTATGGTTCGGATGCAAGCCGATGGCCGTCTCCCTCTGGCGCAGCGGCGCAACTACAAGAGCGTGGTGGACGCTATTTCACAGATGACCAAGAACGAGGGCGTAATTAGCCTGTGGCGCGGCTCTTCGCTCACCGTAAATCGCGCCATGTTAGTGACGGCTTCACAACTCGCCTCATACGATCAATTCAAAGAAACAATACTAGAAAATCATTGGATGAAGGACGGTCTTGGCACCCATGTGACGGCCAGTTTCGCCGCCGGGTTCGTGGCAGCGGTGGCCTCAAACCCGGTGGACGTGATTAAAACACGAGTTATGAACATGAACGTGCGGCTCTTCGCTCACCGTAAATCGCGCCATGTTAGTGACGGCTTCACAACTCGCCTCATACGATCAATTCAAAGAAACAATACTAGAAAATCATTGGATGAAGGACGGTCTTGGCACCCATGTGACGGCCAGTTTCGCCGCCGGGTTCGTGGCAGCGGTGGCCTCAAACCCGGTGGACGTGATTAAAACACGAGTTATGAACATGAACGTGGAGCCAGGGATGGCCCCACCTTACACTGGGGCCCTAGATTGTGCAGTGAAGACTATTCGGGCCGAAGGGCCCATGGCCCTTTACAAAGGATTCATACCTACAATTTCTAGGCAGGGTCCATTTACTATTGTGCTCTTTGTCACACTGGAACAGGTCCGAAAGTTGTTTAAAGATTTCTAATACAATATTATGGTGACGTGAAAACGATTACGATGACGATGACGATCATGAAAAGAATATATATTTTATTTTTAATTCCTTAGAATTGGGAAGAAGGAAGGAATATATGTGGTGTTTTAGTTTGTTCTTAATAAAGATGGAATTATGCAGTTAATAACTACCTGAAACTGACGCTATTCTTTTAATATTATTATTTGATATGTTAGTGACGGTTTTAGTTTATGTGCCTTGATGAGTTCTAAGCTTATAGTGGAAAAATGAGTTCATATTATATTTTATTTAAATTGTAACTTTAATAAATGATATTCATTATATGGTTAGATTAGACGTTTCTGCTTTTAAATATTGAAAAACTTTAGCCAACACCAAAAAGTACTAAGCTCGGCTAGTTGACAAAAAATAATTTTTATTAACTTGGGTTCAATGTAACTTACTCCAATACAGTATGACAATAACCTACTTATGGTTCATTTGACATGATTTTTGAGAAATTAAAAAGAACTTTTGAGACAAAAAGTTGTTTTTAAATCTATTTGATTAATTTCATGAAGTGTATCTTCCAGTAAATAAAATAAAGAAAATTAACTCAATATGAGTTCCTCTAAGATATTCAAGGAAAAAAAAACTCTATTAAAAGTTAATTTTCATGTAGAAATTAAGGTTCGTTTGGCATGACCGAAAGAGGAAAACCCGGTCAACAAATCATAGAATCGAGCGATTCATCCATAAACTGAAAAATCGTTCACAGTTTCATTGGTTCCTATGCACTATGTTTATAAAAAAAAAAAATTAACTCCTTTAATGGGCTCATGGATTACAACCGCAGGCTCATACTGTACTTTCTTAAATTGGTAGCAAGCACTTCCTTTTAAAGACACGCCTCTCTCCACATTTGCATTCAATTACCGATGCGGGATAAAGACTTCCAATTGCAAAACAAACAAATGGATTTATTTGAATAAAGACTATTGCAAATTATTTCAATTTTTGAAGTTTTAAAATATATTATATTATAATGCATCTAATTAACAAACGTAGATTAAATTTACTTTGAATTAGTAGAGCTAAAATAAATATATTATAGTTATAACACTTGGGTTTATTTTTTATTTAATTTTGGTATCTATTATTGTTCCAAAAAAATTTTTTAAACAATTATTATATAATAAAAACACAAGTTATTGTTCAAAACTTATTGTTGTCAAAATAAATTAAAATGTTTAAAAATATTTATTTATTACTTCCGATTTGACCCCAATTCAACCCCAGTTGAACGTTTTGACCCTTGACCCTTTCTCTTTTTTGGGTCGATGTCCGGTACGATTTTAAAAACATTGGTGATTTTAGTTATATATCATGAAAAAACCTCTCATGTTGAAGGATATTGAATTATATTGAATATCACTAAGTATATTTGTTATGATATCAAAGCATCTTCCTTAGAATTTTCTCTCGTTCTCTTGGTTGGATTTTCTCACAGCGAGTATTTTCGTCAAGTCTTTGATCAAATTAAGTCAATTGTGTTTATTTTTCTGTTCATGTTCCTTTTAACTTAGCTGAGGAAGCAATTCAAAATCAATCTCAGATTAGGAGTCTCTGTCCACATATTTGTCATCCCTAATCGCCTCTCACAAACCCACTCCTGAATCGCTATTTTTTGCTCTTAATTAATCTATTTTCTTGTGAGCTTAAATTTGCTATCGTTTTTTATCCGTGTCGATTGGGTAATCTGATTGACATGGGCGACAGCAAAAATTCTAGCGAGAAAGATACGTTCCTATAGGATTATAGCGTCCTAGAACTTCGAATTGCTTTCGAGTTCTTGTCCAATTGGCTATCGTTTCTCTGCCATGGACTCCGAATAATTGTATTGAGACTCTTTCTCATCATGTTCGATCCCTCAATCCAGAAGCTGATGTTGAAGTTGATAAACTAAAATGACTTTGAATACACTCACTATTATAAAGTAAACACAGGAAGGGAAAATACTTTCTGCTTCAATTTAGTCAATATGCAATGGCTTTTATATAGGGATTACATCAACAGAATGACAGAAAAAAGGGTAGCAACAACTAACCCACTATCTTGAACATGTACTGAAACAATAATCAAATTCCTAAAGACCAGGACAAATGAAACACGCTAAAAGACTCAACATAAAATAAATTAATAATATGGAAGGCTTGGTCAAATGACCCTGCACGAATATATGTTATCACCCTCCCTTAAACTGTTATTAGAGAAATCAGTTTAGGAATCAATCTGCAATGTTTTTCCTAAAGCAACCTTAACTTCCTTCGATGATCAAACTCCAAGCATACTTTGTAGTTTCATAAAACCAACTGACTTGAGTGGTTTAGTCAAGATATCTGCAATTTTTTCATCACTTTTGCAAAACACCAAATCAATAACACCATCCTTACATAAATCACGCAAAAAAGTGATACCTCACATCAACGTGTTTGCTTCTCCCATGTAAGATTGGGTTCTTTGAATATATGTTATCACCCTCCCTTAAACTGTTATTAGAGAAATCAGTTTAGGAATCAATCTGCAATGTTTTTCCTAAAGCAACCTTAACTTCCTTCGATGATCAAACTCCAAGCATACTTTGTAGTTTCATAAAACCAACTGACTTGAGTGGTTTAGTCAAGATATCTGCAATTTTTTCATCACTTTTGCAAAACACCAAATCAATAACACCATCCTTACATAAATCACGCAAAAAAGTGATACCTCACATCAACGTGTTTGCTTCTCCCATGTAAGATTGGGTTCTTTGACAGCTTTATTGTTGGACGTTGTTGCTGGTTGTGTAGAACTTCAAGTAATCTCCTCGGCCAAATAGCTTGACATGAACTTGATGTTGTAGCAACGAACTCAGCTTCCGTAGTTGACAATGTTAAGATTTGGGGTTCATCTTAATAAGGTCAATCTTGTTAAGAGGAGTGACTCAAGATCTATTTAAGTTGGTCAATATTTCAGTATTTAATCGATGTGAGATTTATTCCCTTAATATGTCCCCACAAGATGGTGGCTCTTTTTGAGCAAACCAATCTTGAAATTCGTATACTCATTTTTAACTTAATCGGATCAAATAGCTCGTTAGAGTTTATTGGGCTCTGATACCATGTTAGGATTTGGAATCCATCTTAATAAGGTCAACCTTGTTAAGAGGAGTGGCCCAAGATATATTTAAGTTGATCAATATTTCGATATTTAATCGATGTGGGATTTATTCCCTTAACAGACAAAGTCATTATCTGTTGCTTCTTAGATGACCACGTAATAGCCCCAGAATTCAACATGAACATTGCTCCAGAAGTGTTCTTTCTATCATCAATATCTCCAGCATAATGAAAAACCAATCAAATTTGACTTTTCACTCCTTCTGTATAAAATTCCTAAATCTACAGTACCGTTCAAATAGAAAAAAATTCTCTTTGCAGCCAATAGATTACCTTCAATTGGATTCTCCATGTATCTACTAATTAAATTGACTGCGTGCATGATGTTTGGTCCTGTAGATGTCAGATACATAAGACTCCCAACAATCTGTTTGTACAGAGTAGTGTCTACCCTTTTTCCTACTCCACTCTTCGAAAGTTTTAGACCAACTTCAGTTGGGGTGGTGACTAAACTATAATCTTTCATCGTAAACATGTCCAAAACTTCTAGAGCATATTTCTTTTGAGAAATAAATTAGGAGTGGGCGCGGGTTGGTTCGGTTCGATTCGATTCTAAAAAGAACCGAACTGAACCAAACTTTTCGGCTATTTAGTAAATGGAATCGTTGGGTTCAAATATAATTATGGAACCGTTCGGGTTCGGTTCGGTTCGGTACTTTAATTAAATTTTTTAACATTTATAACAATATTATATAAATACAACTATTGATACATTCAATGATTTTTGAATGTCAGAGACTAGTAAACTAACTTGTTCAAATGATCGCTACGATCAAAGTTTCGGTCGACGGAGGTCACAGCTTCGATCGGAGGTCACAGTGTCGACCGACGATTGTATAGGTTTTGAAATATTAGCGAGGCTGCGAGAGTGAGTGCAAGAGTCGAGACAACGTTATGCACTTTAGTGTAGGTGTTTAGGGTTATTTAGTGGATTTGATCTTGATTGGCTAAGAAATGAAACAATAAAATGGATAATTGGGTCAAAAATGAAAAATGTTAGAAATGAAACAAATTATTGGGCCAAAAATTTGGATTTAGAAATAGTTAATTTGTTAATTGGTTTAGAAAAAATTAAAATTAAAATAATTTGATTTACTAAATATAAAAAAAATTAGAAAGATTCGGTTCTTCAGTTCTTGGTCTAGAATCGAGAACCGAATTGTACCCGTCGGTTCTCAATTCAGATACCTTTTCGGATATTTAATTTGACAATAACCGTCAGGTTTGGTTCGGTTCAGTTCGATCGGTTCCGTTTGGAAGATTTGCCCAGCCCTAAAATAAATACACCAGCAGATAATTGCACTACTTCAATGCCAAGAAAATAATGCATTAACCCAAAAGTTATCATATCAAATTCCTTCATCATAGACCTTTTAAAATCAGCAAACATGGATCTGTCATTACAAGTATAAATGAGGTCATCAACATATAAGCACACAACTAAAATCTTCTTGTCAACCCCATATTTAGTGTAAAGAGTGTGCTTGTATGGGCATTTAATAAAACCTCCCTTAGTAAAATAAACATCTATACGATTGTGCCAAGCTCTTGGTGCTTGTTTCAATGTGTATAGTGCCTTCTTCAACTTGTATACCTGATTCTGTAGGAATTGGTTCAAATTATTAACCAAAAATTGGAAAATGAAAAGGTATGTAAAAGTGGAAAATGAAAATGTGTGACTACGTGTCAATTTCGACCAAATATTTGGACTTGATCCGATGGTTAAATTACAAAAATAAATAGACCAACTTATTCTACTCGTCGAGTAGATCGTCGTGGTATATTTGAAATCTCGAAACCAATTCCAGATGAATGAGAAATTGCAGACCAAAGTTGGAAGAAATGAAGTATTGCAACTTTTCGAAAGGATGCAGGTTTTGGCCAAGTGTTGCAATTTTTTTTTAAAATGATGCATGTTTTGGCCCACACTACTTCATCCGCACCCTTTCTACATATATAAATAGAACCTTATGGACATGGTTTTGGGTACACCAATTGCATTGAGCATTCATTCTCCTCCTGCAATTCTTTCCT